CAGCCTTGATTCTCAGCTGTTTCAAAGATGAGCACAGAAGAGTCTGAATAAGTAAGTGATGGAAAAGTTACAGCTGCTGGGAACAGGGACCCAAGTTTCTTGGTGCTTTGAAGACAGATTGTGACTGAAGGCCCACACTGGAGGGATCAAGGCTACCTGGAGATGTCATTCTGCTGAAAGATGACAGTGCTCGTGAAGGCCCACTCGTGACTAAAGCTACAGTCACAGGCAGCCAGCCAGGCACAGACACGGGAAGCTGAAGTCACCTTTGTGAGTATTTCCACGGAAAAGCAATCCAGGTGGGCTGTCTTTGGACTGTCACGTACCCAACCGATGTCTGTCCCTTGGGCATCCTCCTCCTCCCAAAGAACTAGTCTAAGTATCATTTAGTCATTTAAAAGACACCAGGGCAGAGCCCATTTAACTGCTTCTTCCAGTCTTCCTGTGCCTGCCTGTCTGGTCCTTCCTCCATCACCTTTGCATGAAAGGAACATCTTTACTTGCCAGCATGTCAACTATCTTGCACTGAAAAATTTACAACTTTGCGGGGAAAGTAGTTCATGTAATGAATTTGCTTTTGGGTGGATTTTCATGCCACCCCAGAACTGAAATATGCATACCTATCTGACCCTATAAGCAGAGAAATATATCTCAGCAAGAGGGAAAAAGGCGATCTTAACCATCATTGAATTAGATCCTCATCCTCCAACTGTAAAATGCTCTACTGGGAGTTCAGAGAAGACCAAGTTACTATCAATGTGTACTGTTCAAGACCTTTGTGGCTTTCCTTGTCTCCTCCTCCTGCTTAACTTTTGTAAAGAAAAGGCTGGTACCACTATGAAAGGACGAGATGAGAAGAAATAAGAAGCAGCTAAATGTAAATGGCTCACAACGTGGAAGATTAGGCATGAGAAGTGGCTTAAATTATGTTCGACGGTTTTCTGTGAATCTAAATTATTCCTGAACTACTCTGAGATTTATTTCAATGGAAATCCAAGGGTTGAGACAGAAGAGTGTGGCAGTGAGAAACCTGGTTTTGGAATCAATCAGACCTGGTCTGACTAGCACTCGCTCTTCCTTTGAGATCTTACGCGAGATGCTTATCCAGGTATGAAACGATGGTGAGTGAGCGTCTTAAACTGAACACGTCCAAAAACCGAAGTCCTGATCTTCCTACCATTTCTTCATTTCCATCATTGGAAAGTCTATCCTTCCACTCATCCACTGCTCAAAATTTGGAGTCATCCTAACTCCTTTCTTTCTCTTGTTATCCCGTATCTGAACTCGGAGCAAATTCTTCAGCACTAACTTTAAAAATAAATCTTAATCCTATCATTTCTCACCACTTCCACTGAACATGCTCATCTGAGCCAATATCTTCCCTCCACTGGCTTCTTAATGGTCTCCCTGCTTCGGCCTTTATTCCTCCTGTAGCTTCCTCTAAATTCAGAAGCCAGAGTCATCCTTTTAAAACAAATTCATGCTCCTACTCAACTCTCCCTCCCCACAATGGCTTCCCAGTCAGTAAATATAAGCAAAAATCCCTCCAACGGTCCTTTTCTCTCCCCCCGCCATGATCAAATTCCATGTTCCTCCTCATCAATTTCATCTCTAATTTCATATCCCACCGCTCACACCCCCTCTCTTCCGGCCACACTGGCCTTCCTTGCTATGGCCAAGATCTGCCTGGCATACTCCTGTCTCCAGGTCTTAACCTGAAATACTCTTCTCCTGGGTATCCACATGGCTTACTTTTATATTTTCCCACATCTCTGCTCACATGTCACCTTACTGGAGACTTGCCTGACCTTAAAACTACAGTTCCCATCTCCTCTTCTACGCTATTTTCTCTCTAATTTATTTTTATCTATGGCACCACTTTTTTCCCCACAATATATATTTAACCTCTTTTGTTTTGTTTTTTATTTATAGGTTATCTCCCCCTCCCCACTAGAATGTAAGCTTGATGAGTTCAAGGATTTTTGTCTATTTTGTTCACTGCTATCTCCCCAGTGCTCAGAGCAGTGCCTGGCTTACAGAAAACACGCGAATCCTTTTTGGAACACACAAATGAATGCATGAATGAATTGTATCTAATAGAGCCGAGGGCCACTTATCTCACAAGAGATTTTAAGGATTAAGCAAACATTCGACACAATGCTCAGTTCATTGTAAGGACCAAACAAATAGCTCTTGCTCTCGCCTATCTCCTGCGTCCATTCAGTCCAAAACTGGTTAAACACTCTTGTGGTTTAATTTTTAATTCATAGTTAGAGAACTAAATACCGCACAGGGGACATCTAAGAAGGAGGTTATCTGAGCATGTGATGTAAGATAGCAGATGGCAAATGGTAGAAGCTGGAAACTCAGAACACCATGCTGTCCTGCAAAGTCAAGTCTAACAGTGAAGGTTCGGCTCACAGCGCCTGAGACCACCGTGTACTCTGAGGGTCACAGACTTGTTTTTTTTCCCCAAAAATGTCACCTGAGATCGACACATTTGCCAAGTGAAAAAATGTAGATATACAGACTGAAAATAGACTACAAAGAAATGTAATGGACAAGAATGGGTTCTATTGAGGCCAGATACTATCTCCATTCTGGCTGGAAACATCTAAAAGCAAACAAAACAAAAAAACCTAAAACTTACACATCTGTTCCAAAATAATAGGTCTAAGTTTGAGCCTGAATTTTTTAGGTTCCCTTTCATTTCGAAAAAGGCTCTCAAAGTATATGGTATTCAGGACTATAAAACCAACGTCAAGCCTGAGGTTTTGTAACTATAGACTGAATTTGATAGAATTAAATTATTGCCACCCTCCTATACATTCTCTACAAGCGAGCCATGGCAAACCTCTCTACTAAGTGAGGGGGTTATTATCTGAATAATAGGATCAGACTGTGTCCAGAAAGGTCTAGCTTTCTAAGTTCAGCAGATTTTTCTTACAGATGTACTAATTCACATCGTGCTGTAAATGTCCAGGAGAAAATCGGCCCTTTTCAGAGCTCTGGTCTGAGAATGCTGGGTGACCGGGGCTAATTTCTGAGTTCCTTTGAAAATCGTTCAAAAGCAACTGAAGTGTTAAAAGGGGCCTATTCAAAAATTCAGACTCCAAAGCTCAATTTCAATGGCTTTTAAAAAGCAGAGGAGAGCTAAATTGGTTTCCACTAGAGCAAGAGCTCATTTTTTGTGTGTGTCACAAACCAAAATCAGTATTACTAGAAGTTCTGAAAGCCCTACAGGAGAGGAAATGGGAAAGCATGAAGTTTTGCAGTCAGTTGGGTCTGGATCGAAGAATTATGGATTGTTATGATGGGTGGGAAACTTGCTTAGCCTCCCTTGAACTCAGTTTTCTCACTTGCATAATGGACATAATAGGGCTCATTTTTCAGAGATTATATAAGGACTAGCAACAATGCTTACAAAGCACCAGGCCCAAAGCTTGGCTCACAGAAGATCCCCAGTAAATTAGAGGCCTTCTGTTATTCTTTCTCCACTTCTGGTCAAATTCATCTGGCCAGCTGCAGATGGGCATTTTTATGTGCCACATCAAGACATATAAGACAACTGGTCATCAGGTGGTGACTGGGATATAGAGAAACCCACTCATTCAGGAAAGTGAGATTTCATTGGTGACTTTATCTTCTCATAGCCTAGAATCACTGGCAAGATTATAATCAGGTAGAAGGCAAAACCTCACTTTTAATTTGAAAGGGCTTTTAACATAATTAGCCCATTGGTAATTTAAGGTTCTGTTTACTTCTGGAAGGTGGTGCCCACTCGTCTTATGGAGAACCAAGTTCTCTTCTAGAGCCCCAGTGTGTATGCCTACTTTTTTGTAAAAATTTCTAGTCTTCCATCAAA